TGGTGGCAGCCGCCATATGCAACCTTTCCCCTCCACCTATTCTGTGTCTGGCCAGCCGGGTGGCGCCTATGCAGCCCACAGAGGGGCACCGTTGCCCTTGCCTGGCCCCAGCCCTGCTCCTGGGAGGCAGTGGCATTGGGTGGGTGGCACTCCATCCCCACCTGCCCACACATACCCCCTAGGGGCTTCCCAAGCACTCCCAGGGGTATGCGTACCCCCGGTTGACAACCCCTGCTATATGGGATGTGCTATGTTTGTGTTCCTCCTAGAGGGTCAAAGTGACTTCCTGTGCACCAAATGCCAGCTGGTGTCCACCATGGAGGAAAAGGTTGAAGGGTGGGAAGTACAAGTATCAATGCTATGCAGTTTCAGAGAGAAAAACTTCCTTGATAAGTCATGAGAAAACTTGAGAAACAATGATCATCACATGACAGAATTCATGACTCTAAGGGAGAGGTAGGCTGCTTAATGAGTTTGGGCAAGCTGTCAAGGGCTACAAGGGTAGCCCCTTGGCAGGTGCCCTGCCCCCTAGTCACCATCTTGGGACTGGAAGTCCTACCCCTGACCTTTGCCACTGGAAGTTGCTCCCCTTATTCCCGAAAGTACTCCTTTTGGGAGTGGGGAGCACTGCCATCTTGGAACCAGAAAAAAAATGAATCATATACAAAAAGTAGGGTGACCACCTTTTTTAAATGTAAAGGTGGGAAACATGCCTGCCTCCCACCCCCCACTGGTGGTGCAGCTGGAGCCAAGCCGAACAGGGCAGAGGTGGATGTGGGCTGCCCGCTGCAAGCTCAGGACTCCTCACCCTGCTGCCTTTCTCCTAGGAGTCCCTTGTTCGCTGTGTCCCCCCTGTGCCTCCCTGCCTCCCCTGCAGCAGTGGGCGCCAAAACTCCACACTGCCAATGCCTCCAGTGCTGCCAGGTGGGCAAGCAGCACATCACTATGGCTATGCACAGCCCCTGGGCACAGGCTTCATGCTCCTGCCAGCCCCATGCTCCCTGCCCCCATTCAGCTGCATCTTCCCCCTGCTCCTGCTGCAGCTTTTCCTCCTCCTGCTCCCTTACTTGCTGCCTGGAGGAACCACTGGATGCAAGGGAAGCTGAGCAGGACCCCAGTGGCTGCAGCAGGGGCAGGAGCAGCCCTGTCCAGAAGCTGCATGCTGACCAGGCCGGGGCCCTTCCTCACACAAGGGTGGGAGTGAGGTGAATGGGCTGGGCAGGGAATAATTAATTGGAGGATGCCTGTGGGCTGGATGAAATCACCATATATTGCTTGCCCTCGCTCTAAGGGGAAATACAAGATCAGCAGGACACCAGATCTCCAGAAGGCTGATTTCAACCAACTCAAGGAGATAGTAGGTTAGATCCCATAGGAGGACAATATGAATGATAAAAGGGTCTAGGAGGGCTGACAATTTCTAAAGGGCATAGTATTAGAAGCTTAACAAGAAGCTATTGCTATGCAATGGCAGGAAGGATGGCAGGAGATTGATGTGGCTGCACAAGGAGCTTCTTGGATGCCTCAAAATCAAAATGTACAGATAATGGAAGGAAGGGCAAGTCACTAAAGGCACCTATACACAAATATTGAGGCTGCTCCAATGTGCTGTAATTTCAATCGAGTCTGCTGGACTGTGGGATACTATTAAAGTGGTATTAATAGTATTAAGTGGATACTATTAAACTGTGCTCCAGCAGACTCCAGCATCATGTGTATCAGCATCCCCACACTGAAAAATGGTGGCAGAGCCACTCTAATCAAAGACACCCCCACCTCCTGAAATACGTATAAATGCCCCAAGGAAGCATACCAAGAAATAGTAAGACCTTGCAGGAACAAAATCAAAGAAGCAAAAGCAAATTATAAGTTATAGCTAAGGCCACGTGTAGACAAAACAAGAGGCGTGTGTGCACACTTTAAAGTGGGCTAAATGCTTTTGCACCACTCTAACGGTGTCGGTGTTTGCATGCCTTGGCAGCATATTGTGCATTAATTCCAGCCGCTGTAGGAAATTCGGCGGCATAATGCACCTTAAATGACTTGGGGCACAGGAAACTAAAACTCCTTCAAGGAGTTTTAGTTTGCTGCCATACAGCTGCGGATTAAAGCACTGGGCTCTGTGCAGCTCCACGGTCGTGCAGGAAGCCCATGCAGGCAGTCTAGCAGCAGCCTGGGAAAGTGGGCTCTGCTCAGGAAAAGTGGCAAGCCTGCTCTGTTTCCCCACCCCACCCCAGAGCCTGCCTGCCTGCCTGCCTGCCTGAGCTACA